TCCGAAGATACCGCCGCAGTATACTGCGGTACCCATGTGCCAATTCCAGAAGACCGTGTGGGCGAGCTTCCAGAATGGAGTGGCAAGAATCGTGAACAGCGCCGGCGGCATGACAAGGCGGAGCTTGTCCATCGGCAGATAGTGGTGGATTCCGTGCAGGACGAAGTGGAGCGTGATACACACTCTGTTGTCAGGCATTTTCCTGTACCGCGCATCAGCCTCCGCACCCGAGAATCCGAAACGGTTGGACTCACTCGTCAAGATGGAACAAGCATCTGTGCAGCCCATACTCGACCAGCGTCCAAATGCACAGCCCAAGCCCGAACAACGCTGCCTCGACGGGAATCGACAAGCCCTTGCCGGTCCTCGTACAATTCCGTACGAGATGCACGGCAACCAGATTGTGGGCACAATCCACCACGGCGTCTTTGCTCGCAGGGGCTCAAGGGAAATTTCCAAACAGCGGTGCCCCTGCTCTCGCCGCCCCTTGTAGTGTCGCGGCTTGTGCACCTGCTCCAGGTAAAATTCCTTGCTGAACCCGCCGAACCACCACCTGCAGCAACAGTGGCCGGTTAAGGTCTAGGAATTTGTGCGTCTTGTAGTCGTCGACGATGTCGGTTGTTTCGAAGTGCGATCGATTCCTTTCCTCCCCGCGGGCGGCATTGTTGCCTAGGCGTGAGCGGCGGGAGAAGGAGGCAGCAATCCCCCCAACGTTTGCCAAAACGTGATCTTGCGGTAGAAAGCCAATGTGGTATTCATCCAGAATCTCGTATGGCGGCATCCGAATGAACGTGGGAGGCCTCGTCGGCGAGGATTCGCGGTGATGTCTTGCCGGCCCATCTCGCGGAATATTAACTTCTCTCTCCACAAAAAAGGGGCAGTCGCAACAAACTCAAGAACCAAGTCCTCACCACCGGGGTGGTCGGAAAGGAACTCGGTCACGTCGCAGACCTTACTGCCGATCGTAACATAACATGACTTTGCGTTGTTGTGCTTTTTCTGAGTTCGTCCAAGGGATGGTAGGTAGCGATCGGAAGCCATTGGACGATGGAACGATTGTGGTTGGTTGTGGTGTGGCTGCAACGAAAGTAAAGGTCGGGTTCAGTCAAGGCGAAACAGGGATGACGCGTGCAGGAAGCAGATTTCTGGCCTCTTGTGGTGCGTGGTGGAAGAGATTTTCGGGAAAGCTGTTTCGTCTTTTATACCACCACCGATGCCATGATGTGGTGTCGCGTGGTTGAAGGGATTTTGATTCAGACCGGAGGTGACCTTCATAGAACAAAAATTTCTTTGACATGTGTAATCCCTGTGGCGCAGTGTAGCGCGTCGTTCTTATACGAGAACCACTTCGGGTCTTGTAGGACAGCTATGCGAATGCGTGGGTTCGACCCCCACCAGGGATAATTTTTTCTTTTTTTTTCCCCTTGAAACGAGAGGAGCCGGTGAGTGATCCTGCTGAGGACCTCGGTTTTCTATCAGACCATGCAGTACTCTACTCTAGATCGGTCTCAACATTGAAGGTCATGATATCTCACTCTGTCCGTCAGACCTTCGTATCAACCACAAGTGCAGGCAAAGAGGCGCAGCTTCCGCCTAGCCACTGCCAGATTGATTACCGGCGGCTGGCTGGGGGTGATCCACGTGTATCATACGAGTGTGGCGTTACACTTCTCTCACGCAGGTTCGGCTTCACTGGACGAGAGACTTTGTAACACGGCATTCGAGTCTGTCTGGTTTTCCTATATCTGACGGCGCGCCGTGGAACTAGCAGAGTCGGTGCCACACCGTGGCTAAGAGTAGGAGTTCGGGTGGCTAGGAGGAGGACCGGGTGGCTGGATGGAGAGTGCGGCGCCGGAGGGTATAAGCAACGCCTGGGGGTGGAGAGGCCACGCCCGCAGTTGTTTTGCTGTTTGCCCACCCACCTCCCTCAACAGGGCTCACGGAGCCCAGTAGCTCCTCCGGAGACGTGGATCAGCACGCAGCAGCGCGAGCCTGCGGCAGCCGCCGGTTCGACGCTGCGCCCGGGCAAAACCACGAGTCGGAGCACGAGCGGAGGAGTGTAGGGATTATGTAAGCATAATATATATATATTACAGCGCGGTCTCTTGTGGCCGACGGATGGCTAGCTGCTGGTTTATCAGCAAGCCGCCCGCTGATGGCAAACCCTTTCTGAAGATCCCTCTGTCTCGATGGTTGATAGGTGGAGACGGCTAACGCGCTTGTTACAGCCGGATCTGAATTCAGACGCTCGGAGCACTGAAGGGGGTGTAAATCGACTTACCGTAGAGATCGTTGTATGGGCTTATTCCAACAGTCTGGTAAAAACGGTCCGCATGGTTAAGATAAAGCGTCAACGTATCAGCACGCTATCCCTTGGGATCGGAGGGCTCTGTGTAATAGAGTATATTCGCAAACGGATTCCAACTCTCAATATTCTACTAGATTTTCGAGGATACTGTCTGAAATAGCTGGTCCCCAACAAAAAAATCGCCCGAGGCAATGATCCTGGTGGGGGTCGAACCACGACATCGCATAGCTGTCCATACAGGACCGCCCAAAGGCGAGTTCCCATATAAGAACGACGCGCTACCACTGCGCCACAGGGATTTCATGTGTCAACCTCACTTTGATATATAGCCCACCAACCCAGACCGCAGGTGTCTCATCTCTCCTTGTCACCCAGTGTGCACTCTCATGCTGTATATAGAATACAAAACCGATTCAACAGCTCGGGACTGTAAGCCTTCGGTCCAACCTTATCCTCGCTTCTCCCACAGTAGTGGTGTCAATAATTACGTTCGTGCTTCCGCGTGTGGACTCCATGTAAAAGTAAATAAAGCTTATTGACGACCCTTCTCTGCAGCGCCGTGAAGCCCTGCACACAACAAGACACCGGGGAAGGCTGGCGGCGCAACTGCGAGAACGGCGCTTACTCAACGGCCTCACGGTTTTCCACAGTCTCCCCGGCGGTTCGTTCTGCAAATAAACTTTTGACAACGGGGGGGCCGGAGGTTATTGGCGGACGAACAGCTGTTATGCTCTTGTTACTGCAGCTGGGCCAGCCTACAAAGGCAAACCAAACCGTCACTTCATGCGCAAGCAGCCAACGTCAAGCCAGGCGGGAATGGTTCGAGCACCAGTGCATGTCTCATGCCTTCGACGGCTGTGGGAAGATCTCACAGCCGTCGAAGGCATGAGACAGCACTGGTGCTCGAACCATTCCCGCCTGGCCTTGACGTTGGCTGCTTGCGCATGAAGTGACGGTTTGGTTTGCCTTGTAGGCTGGCCCAGCTGCAGTAACAAGAGCTAACAGCCTGTTCGTCCGCCAATAACCTCCGGCCCCCCCGTTGTCAAAAGTTTATTTGCAGAACGAACCGCCGGGGAGGGGGGGGGGGGGGAGCTGTGGAAAACCGTGAGGCCGTTGAGTAAGCGCCGTTCTCGCAGTTGCGCCGCCAGCCTTCCCCGGTGTCTTGTTGTGTGCAAGGGCTTCACGGCGGCTGCAGAGGAAGGGTCGTCAATAAGCTTTTATTTACTTTACCAATGGAGTCCAGCACAGCGGAAGCACGAACGTAATTATTGACACCCACTACTTTGGGAGAAGCGAGGATAAGGTTGGACCGAAGGCTTACATTCCCGGAGCTGTTGAATCGGTTTTGTATTCTATATACAGCATGAGAAGTCACACTGCGGACAAGGAGAGATGACACCGCCTGCGGGTGGGTGTGGGCTATATATCAAAAGTGGAGGTTGACACATGAAATCCCTGTGGCGCAGTGGTAGCGCGTCGTTCTTATATGGGAACTCGCCTTTGGGCGGTCCTGTATGGACAGCTATGCGAATGTCGTGGGTTCGACCCCCACCAGGGATATTGCTTTTTTGGGGCGATTTTTTTTGTTGGGGACCAGCTATTTCCAGACAGTAATCCTCGAAAATCTAGTAGAATATTGAGAGTTGGAATCCGTTGCGAATATACTCTATTACAACAGAGCCCTCCGATCCCAAGGGATAGCTGCTGATACGTTGACGCTTTATCTATAACCATGCGGACCGTTTTTACCAGACTGTTGGAATATAAGCCCATACAACGATCTCTACGGTAAGTCGATTTACACCCCTTCCAGTGCTCCGAGCGTCTTGAATTCAGATCCGGCTATGTAACAAGCGCGGTTAGCCGTCTCCACCTATCAACCCAGTCGGAGACAGGAGGGATCTTCAGAAAGGGTTTGCCATCAGCGGGCGGCTTGCTGATAACCAGCAGCTAGCCATCCGTCGGCCACAAGAGACCGCGCTGTATATATATATATATATTATGCTTACATAATCCCTACACTCCTCCGCTCGTGCTCCGACTCGTGGTTTGCCCTGGGCGCAGCGTCGAACCGGCGGCTGCCGCAGGCTCGGCGCTGCGCTGCTGATCCCAGTCTCCGGAGAGCTACTGGGCTCCGGAGCCCTGTTGAGGGAGGTGGGTGGGCAAAACAGCAAAACAACTGCGGGCGGTGCCTCTCCAACCCCCAGGCCCCCGGGGGTGCTATATACCCTCCGGCGCCGCACTCTCCATCCATCCACCCGGTCCTCCTCCTAGCCACCCGAACTCCTACTCTTAGCCACGGTGTGGCACCGACTCTGCTAGTCCACGGCGCGCCGTCAGATATAGAAAACCAAGACAGACTCGAATGCCGTGTTACAAAGTCTCTCGTCCAGTGAAGCCGAACCTGCGTGAGGAGAAGTGTAACGCCACACTCGTATGATACACGTGGATCAAACCCCCAGCCAGCCGCCGGTAATCAATCTGGCCAGTGGCTAGGCGGAAGCTTTTTTTTGCCTCTTTGCCTGCACTTGGTTGATAACGAAGGTCTGACGGACAGAGTGAGATATCATGACCTTCAATGTTGAGACCGATCTAGAGTAGAGTACTGCATGGCTGATAGAAAACCGAGGTCGTCAGCAGGATCACTCACCGGCTCCTCTCGTTTCAAGGGGAAAAAAAAAAGAAAAAAAATTATCCCTGGTGGGGGTCGAACCCACGACATTCGCATAGCTGTCCATACAAGACCACCGAAGTGGGTTCTCGTATAAGAACGACGCGCTACCACTGCGCCACAGGGATTACACATGTCAAGAAAATTTTGTTCCTATGAAGGCTCACCTCCTGGTCTGAATCAAAAAAATCCCTTCAACCACTCGACACCAACACATGGATCATCGGTGGTGGTAAAAAGACGGAAACAGCTTTCCCGAAAATCTCTCCACCACGCACCACAAGAGGCCAGAAATCTCTTCCTGCACGCGTCATCCCTGTTTCGCCTTGAACTGAACCCGACCTTTAACTTTCGTGCAGCCAGCACCACAACCAACCACAATCGTTCCGTCCAAATGGCTTCACGATCGCTACCTACCATCCCCTTGGCCGAACTCGAAAAGCACAACAACGCAAAGTCATGTTATGTTACGATCGGCAGTAAGGTCTGCGACGTGACCGAGTTCCTTTCCGACCACCCCGGTGGTGAGGACTTGGTTCTTGAGTTTGTTGCGACTGCCCCTTTTTTGTGGAGAGAGAAGTTAATATTCCGCGAGATGGGCCGGCAAAGACATCACCGCGATCCTCGCCGACGAGGCCTCCCACGTTCATTCGGATGCCGCATACGAGATTCTGGATGAATACCACATTGGCTTTCTACCGCAAGATCACGTTTTGGCAAACGTTGGGGGATTGCTGCCTCCTTCTCCGCCGCTCACGCCTAGCAACAATGCCGCCCGCGGGGAGGAAAGGAATCGATCGCACTTCGAAACAACCGACATCGTCGACGACTACAAGACGCACAAATTCCTAGACCTTAACCGGCCACTGTTGCTGCAGGTGTGGTTCGGCGGGTTCAGCAAGGAATTTTACCTGGAGCAGGTGCACAAGCCGCGACACTACAAGGGCGGCGAGAGCGCACCGCTGTTTGGAAATTTCCTTGAGCCCCTGAGCAAGACGCCGTGGTGGATTGTGCCCACAATCTGGTTGCCGTGCATCTCGTACGGATTGTACGAGGCCGGCAAGGGCTTGTCGATTCCCGTCGAGGCAGCGTTGTTCGGGCTTGGGCTGTGCATTTGGACGCTGGTCGAGTATGGGCTGCACAGATGCTTGTTCCATCTTGACGAGTGAGTCCAACCGTTTCGGATTCTCGGGTGCGGAGGCTGATGCGCGGTACAGGAAAATGCCTGACAACAGAGTGTGTATCACGCTCCACTTCGTCCTGCACGGAATCCACCACTATCTGCCGATGGACAAGCTCCGCCTTGTCATGCCGCCGGCGCTGTTCACGATTCTTGCCACTCCATTCTGGAAGCTCGCCCACACGGTCTTCTGGAATTGGCACATGGGTACCGCAGTATACTGCGGCGGTATCTTCGGATACGTGTGCTACGATCTCACCCACTATTTCCTGCACCACAAGACGTATGTTTCTCCAAGACTTCGGTCGTGCTGTAGCCGCTGATTATTCTTTCTATAAAGCCTCCCCGCCTACTACCAGGAACTCAAGAAGTACCACCTTGAGCACCACTACAAGGACTACCAGAAGGGCTTTGGAGTGACCAGCAAGTTCTGGGACAAGGTCTTTGGTACCGAGCTCATCTACGGCCCTGGTCTCAAGAAGGGCGTCAAGGCGCAGTAAATCAACCCTCAACATCGATCAACATCGATCAACATGACTGTACTCTATGAACCCCATCACGAAAAAAACAACTGAGGAAGGAGTGAGTGTGAAGGTTTCGGTTTCGGTTTCGGTTTTGGTTTTATTACATGCTTTCTCTCCCTTTATTACGTATACCACCACCGCCGCCGCCGGGGGTGGGGCTGTTGTGCTTTTTCGAGTGATAATACCTCTCTAGATCTTGCCTGTTTTCTTCTTCTTCTTCTTGAGTATGCAATTTGCGGCCTTGCTACATATCTTGTGAATAGTTTATCCACATTGGGCAGCTGGGGGGCGGGGGCGGGGGGCTCTAATAATGTTTAATCATCGTCCACGGGAGAAGACCACCGTGAATATCATGACGGACGGGACTCCGGGATCTCTTTCCCGATCTCCCATGAATCCTGTCCGTCGCCTTAGAGCACCGCTGTAAAAATTCACAAGACGTCACGATTCCGCCGGTATCCGATGCCGGCGAAGCTCGGGTCGGCACGAGCACAGACTTAAGCAAGCTCAACGGGGAAAAAAATGTGTAGAGAGTACGATATACAAGAACTAGAATAAGAACTCGCAAGCCGACAAAGACAACCAAGGAACAAAAAAAAAAGAAACAGAAAAAAAAGGGTAGATAAGATGAATGATAAGTAAACAAACAACAGTTGCGAAATCGAGTTCTCGTACAAGCCAAGCCCCCGATCTTCGCCCCCCCCCCCCGCAACTCCGTCCTTCCGACTCCAACCCGATCCAATCCGTGCAAAAAAAAACAAAAAAAAAAAACAAACCATTTTTTTTACACTTCTAGACTCATGGGGAAAAGAAGGATAGCGAAGCCCACCGGATTTGGCCACCTCATGAGTGGCCGAGAGACAACTCTTTCTTGATCTGTGAATGGTTGTCAGTCGACTGAACTGGTCCGGGGCGGGGTAGAGTGAGCTCACCTTCGCAATAGCCAGACCGGGGTTCAATCCCTTGGGGCAAGTGCGGGCACAGTTCATGATGGTGTGACACCGGTACAAGCTCATCTCGTTATCCAACGCGGCCTTACGCTCCTCCTTGAACTGATCACGCGAGTCGGCGATCCACCGGTAGCTCTGCATGAGCACGGCGGGGCCGAGGTACTCGCTCGAGTTCCACCAGTAGGAGGGGCAGGAGGTGCTGCAGCACGCGCACAGAATGCACTCGTACAGGCCGTCGAGCTTCTTGCGGTCGGCGATGCTCTGGAGAATCTCTCGGCCTGGCGGCGGGTCCTTGCGCTGAAGGTAGGGCTTGATCGACTTGTACTGCTTGTAGAAATGCGTCAAATCGGGAACGAGGTCCTTGACGACGTAGGTATGCGGCAGAGGGTAGATCTTGGTCGCCTTGGAAGTGTCGGTGTCGATGCGGCCTGTGTGTTCAAAGAAGAAGAAAAAATTAACACAAACTCCCTCCGCTCACAAGTGGCGCGGAGGTACATACACAAGCAAGCCAAGGTGTTGATTCCCCCAATGTTCATAGCACAGCTACCACAGATACCCTCTCGGCAAGACCGTCGGAAGGTGAGGGTAGGATCCACCTCGTTCTTCATCCGAATCAGCGCATCCAGCACCATGGGCCCCGTCTGGTTCAAGTCGAGCTCGTACTCCTGCATGTACGGCTTCTTCTCGGGGTGGTCCGGGTTCCAGCGGTAGACCTGGAACTTCTTCACTCGGGGAGCCTTGGATTCGGGGGTGGGCGGCGGCGCCTGCGAGGTCGCCACGGAGGCGAGACCTCGGACGGCGCTGGGAATGGAAGAGCGGGTGGAAGCAGCGGCGAGCAGAGCGCTGCGGGAGAGGACCGAGGCGGACATCGTGATTGTGGTGTGGCGGGTGGCGGTTTGGAATGAGGTTGTGCGACCGGAGATGTGGGGAACTTGTATTTGTACCCCCAGATCAATTGCGTTGCTGTGCTTCTGATGACGCTGGTTGCCTGGATTGCAGCGGGCGGAAGCGAGAAGGGTCGATGCTTAGAAAGAGGGGAGAGGAGGAGGGAGAGGAAGGTTCTTGGGAGTGGTGGGGATGTTTGAAGGTGCTCTGGGTGTGGATTATCTCATTGCCGCCCGGCGGACAGCGGGTCGTCTGAATCGGAAAGTTAACCTCGGTCTCGTGGGGGCCGCCAATCAGGCTGCCGCAATTTGCTAACAGCTTTCCAGGATGGGTGGAAAGATGATCTGATAAGATATGTGGGATATCGACACGACGACTCGCAGATCTATGCGATTGCGGCCGGAGATAAGGTTCAATTGTGATCCTCTTTCTCTCATTCATTCGCCATATATAGTTAACTACCAGAGGAGCCGGCGGGGATGTCGTGAAGAGACGCGTTGACGTCGGGAATGATCTGCTTTGTGTTGATTGGAGGGGCAATTCCCGAAAGCTCCAACACTGAGCTCTTTTATTAGCAGTTGGAATTTCCATTTTGTCTGATCAACATCATGCCGTCTCCCGATCTATATATCCGTTGGTTTTATGGTGGTGACCCAAGAGTTGCCGGAAAAACTCGGTATTTCTATCAAGCAGGCGGCCTCGGACAATTCCTGACGCCTGGTAACCATGTGGCATTTCATTCACTATCACTCGGTAATTCGGCACGCAATCTTGGATACGTGGCACTGCAACACTTCTTTTGAGCGTCCTCCTTGAAGGCTTATGGTGGACGGGATACCGGTGAGCAGTAGCAAGCGCAGATTTAGACATATTGTATCCGTGCTGACCAGGGGAAATCTTCAGGATACAGAGCAAGGCCATTGCCGCATAATCCATAAAATCAGAGAATACCCGGAAGAAAGAAAGAAGAAACCGAAGAAACAACCCAAACGCTGTGGACACAAAACAATCAATCTCTCCCATCATTTCACGACAGCCTGGCCCTTTTCTTCGTCCGTTGGCTCTCTTTCTCCTGCTCCCTCTCCTCTTCGATGTCCTCAATCTTGTACTCGGCGGGATCCACGATCTCATCCCGGGTCTTCGTCAGGAGCTTGATTAAGTCTGAGAGCTTGTCCTTTACACCGATGACGTCGAAATCTCTGCCCACGCGCTTGTTCTCTCGCAGCTTCTTGATGAGGTTATGGCAGCGCTCTTGGGCGATCTCAACGCGGTAATCGGTCCACTGGTTGTACATCTCGTTCAGGTCGGAGATGGGACGAACAGTGACCAGGTGCGAGTCGTCGGTGATCATTGGGTCCTTAGGCCGGAAAGATGTTACCATGGTAATACGCTCTCGGGCGTTGGTTGAAGGAAGAGCGATGTGGTCGATATATTTTCCTTGGAGCACGACAGCGGATCCCTATGGATCACAGATTAGCGATCGGGACGATCAAGCAGTTCGCGGGACTGTACCATTTGTGGACCGCGGACTTTCATGATATCTCCGCTACCAGTGCGCAGAGCCGTCTCACCGCCCTTCATCTCAGTTG